GGGGATCTGAGAGAAGGTTAGCGGTGAAATTTCATTGCTGAATTTCTCTTTGATGCCCCGAAAATATCGGTGGCCAGCGGTGAATGAACGAAAAGGCTCACCACCGTTGGCTAGTGCCGACGTAGTACGCATCGAGGAGGCAAAGTTGACCAAACAAAGAACGCGTCTCTCTTCCTTACCACTATTATCCTGCAATGCTCGACCCTCATTTTTTGATATTCTGGCGAGAGATGGTTTGCAAGGATCTTAACGATTTAATCCCTTAAATGATGCCTTGTGCTTGGATGAATTGCTAAAAACTTTCTGATATTCGGAATGTTAGACCCGGCTCCCTGACGCGTCGAATTTTCCATAGCGTTCAGACCGGTGGATGACAGGCCGACGAAGCCTCTTTTTTCGCCTCGAAGCACCTGCGCAGTGTGTGTGAATCCGATATTTTGCAATAATACCTCTTCTGCGTCTTTCCTAACGGCCATCATTCTCTGAAACAAAATGTTACATAAAGAGGCCATCTTCTCTCCCATTTCTTGTCTCGCTAACTATGCTCATCGCGATATCCTTGCTCTACTGTGCTCTCTTGGCCGCTTCAGCCCCCGAGGTCCAACTGGGCAAAACCAAGCTCGTGGGAAGAGATCTTACAGGACTACAGCAAGAGTTCTTTGGAGGTGAGCCAGCATACCGTGCAGCGATGCTCAAGGCTAAGACATTGGCTAGGGATTCCATTCGCTGAACCTCCGGTTGGATCCTTGCGTTTGGAGCGTCCTGTATTGAAAACGGACATTGACGCCGATGAATTCGACGCCGAAAATTTTGGACTAGCCTGTTTACAGGAGGTAGGTATTTCTGCTTCATATCTGCGATTCTATTTTAAAGAAATTACAGGGCCTTGAAACCGATGAGATGTCGGAGGATTGTTTGACCATCAACATATTTCGGCCGAAGGGGGCGTCGTCCGAAGATCCCTTGCCCGTAATGTTCTGGTAAAATTATATTTTTCATTCATGTGGTCCTCTCACTGACGACGCCCAAGGACCTACGGTGGCGGTTTCTCTGAAGGTGGTTCGTCGTTGTACAATGGAAGCAATATCGTTGCCCAGAGTGTTACTAGAGTAAAGTTTCGCGTTACATCTACGTCTTTGTAGCTAATTGATTGCAGGGAACTCCCATCATCTATGTGAACTACAATTATCGGCTAGGGCCATTAGGCTTCCCTCAAGGACAAGAAGCCGGAGACAGAGGGCAGGTCAACCTCGGAGTCCGGGATGTGTTGACTGCCTTGGAATGGGTTCAAGAGAACATTGGTTTGTTCGGTGGTGATAAAAACAAGGTGCATCAATTCATTATATGCTGATTCTCTTGGATAACGAGTCCGAATAGGTGACAATTTTCGGACAAAGTGCTGGATCCATGTTGACAAATATGATGCTTCTAAACGCGTCGATTTCCAACTTTGCCAGGGCTGCGGTACGCATGCAGTCGTTTTATTTCACAGGAGGTATCGGTCTGAGTGAACGATTAGATCTCTGAGTCTGGTTCTGCATCTTCCCCCGTCTATTATAACGCATCTACACGCGAATCTGTCTGGCAGAACTTTGTAGCAGGGACACCAGGCTGCGAGTCTGTCGCTGACACACAGAACACTTTCCCCTGTTTGCAGGCCGCAAATACGTCGGCTATATATCAAGGAATGGTAGAGGCCTATGCGTTGGCCATCGAAAGTCCTACCTTCTATCCTGTCCTAGATGGTCCTTCAGGCCTCTTTCCCGATCTGCCTTCACGTATGTGGGCAAAGGGAGAGTTTGCCACGATTCCTTTTATATCAGGCACGAACTTAGATGAAGGTATGATATGAACTCTTTACAAACGCCGAACTCAACGCTGGTGTTCATTAGGAACAGTCGGCCTATCGACAAATACCAGTTTTACAGATGAGGTCATCAAAGATTACATTCAAAAAACATACTCGGCATTCCCACCTTACATCTCTGATGATATTCTGGACCGGCTTATCGAACTGTACCCTGACAACCCTTCCTTGGGCTCGCCATATGGTACCGGAAATGATACATTTGGGTTGCCCGTAGGCTATAAGAGGGTGGCATCCATGAGTGAGCCTTAATTCTTGCTCCCAATATAATTTGCTGAAGCATCAATTTCAGCTGGGGACTTGACCTTTGATGCTCAGCGTCGGACATGGACACAGACTGCTGCGCAAGCAGGCGTGAAGGCGTACGGATACCAATTTACGCAAAATGCCTCGTCGGTCGCAGCGTACTTGGGAGGTAGGTCTCATCGTTCCTGAATCCATCCAACTTATTCTAAGGTGTTTGGTAGTTCCTCATGCGTCGGAACTAGACTTTATCTATGGACTATTGAACTCCTCCACGGAGCCCGCTTCGTCGATCTTGTTGGGCGAAATGATGGTCGACTATTGGGTTTCGTTTGCAACAAGCTTGGATCCCAACGATGGCTTAGGAACGTCTCGTGAGTGACTCTTATGCCGTCGGTCGAACTGCTTGTTGATTAATCATCTTTCAGGTCCGAACTGGCCACAGTACACGCCGGAGAATGAGGTGAGTTTAAACTATTCACCGAATTCTTTCTCTCACTGACTGTGACCCCAGGTGCTCCTACAATTACATGGCGACAATACGACAGTCATTCTGGATGATTATCGGGAGGAAGCGATCTCGTTCTATAGGGATAACGCTGACGCTTTCCACCGGTAAAGCAAACGTCTCTTTACGATCTGTGTCTTCCTTTTGCTTGTTCAGTACCAGTTCAACTTGAATACGCATTACTTCCGTTCTTGGAGCTCGTCTACTAAAGACATGCATAAGAGCTATTGAATGAGCACAAGGACTTGGAATGTTGTTCTTCAATCAGACCCCTTCGTGCGGTTAGCGTCCCGTACTACGCCGCCCCAATTATTCGTTGGAAAAGCAAAGAGTGTGGAACGACCGTCACAACAGCAAGGATGTCCTCAATATGATCTTGTTCTCTTGTGTTCGCGGAAAGGCGTCTAGTAAAGGATCCAAGTAATAGTGTACTTATTCAAAGTTCCCGAAACGTATCGTTTATCTTTGCCAATTGACTTCAAATTATAATTTGGCATCTTATTATATGTTCTCATGTTTTCTTTCCATTCTTTAGACTCAAACTATTCCTTTACGTCGATGTACGTATCTTACTTGATACCGGATTGAATCGTACATTTCAGCACCGCTTGCAAGGCCTGATCTGGTCTGTCTCAGATCGCTTCAGTGAACCAGGAGAAATCAAAACTCTGAGTCTTAGAGCACGAGTTCCACGTAGTACGCCGGGGAACGCAGTGCCGCGAATACTCCCATAATTGCCGGGCAACGCAACGGTTGATCCGAAGGAGGCAGAACCACTTGTCTTCATAAGGACTTCTATAGAGGCGTCCGTGTGCTGGTTCTCTGGTACACGGAGGGTCGATGCTGCTAACCGTGATCATTGGTCACGAATGTTCGCAAGCTCACCTCGATGGGATGATGCCTCCCTTAGACTGGACTAAGGCGGATTGACTCGTCGGTCTCGATGTGTGTCTGGAAGGATTCGGAGGGTGAATTGTGTCTTCTCCATTTCTGGTAGTGCGAAAGCATATGAGGACCTGGATGCGAGGCAGACGATCGTCTCTCCACTGTGACCATCAAGTCATTAGTAGCCTGGTCAGAATTGAAAAGCGGTGCTAATATCAAGAATAGAAATAGAATCACACCAGAGAAAAATGGCCAAATAAGAGAAGCTGAACAAGTGAAAGTGAATGTTTCCTTTTGTTCGCCCCAAATTTGAAAATACCGAGCGGCGAATACCTCTTTGGGAATCGATTGCAGATTTGCTTCCGCGGATGGTTCCTAGGACGCGCACGTAACACTAGTGCTCCTCTTATCTTGCGTATCAGCGCCTAGCTTCCCAGTGAGCTTCTGACAGGCATTTGGAAGCACTCATTCATAAACGTTTCTTCGTTGGGGACGTGCATAGAAATGTCCAGCGCATTGCGATGTGAATGGGTAAGATAGGCGCCAATAATTTCGGTGTCGCACCAACCTCCAATAAAGATGGACGACCAGAAATTGGACAAGGCGTAGGCGATGGTGCGTCAGCGGGAGCAGATGAGCAAGAAACGAATTGGTGTTACGTGTCTCCATATTGCTGGACAAAGATTGGAAAAGATGGTGAGGAGAAGTTCGGTAGGAAGATGGTCGACGGGTGGGGGGTATTTAGGTAACACTCTGGGAAAGGGAGATATCATCGAGTTTGCTGAGTTTCTTGGAAGGGGAATTTTCTGTCTACGCGTCGAGGAGTACGATTAGAAAGCAATCTGCGAATAAGCTCTGTGGACGTGCACGCAATGGCAGACAGTCTCTGTGTCTATCTGTTGCAATCATCGGGGAGTGGAATGTTGGAGAATATCCGTACGAACCGTATCGTTTACCCTTTTTGCCTTTCACCCGTCACTCGTTCTTACCTTTTATATACATTTCCCTTGTCCGTACTCGATCACTATATAAGTTTCACCGTAGTTACCCGTATACCTCGGTCATTCCACAATCTGTGCCTGACTGAGGTACATATACCTTACCAGGCGTGATATTATATTACTTACTCTCCTTCGTAGCTCTTACTTATATTCTTCTACTATTATGGAACGATATTTGCAAGGTATTGAAGGGCTTACGCAGAGGGTAGGGATGGACAAGATGGACTGGGGACTCTCGAGGCTACTGATTACATCAATGAAGATCTAAAATACACCAGTAAATAGGTAATGAGAATAAATAAAACATTCCTTCACTGGGTAATTGGGAGTGGTTGGCTGTCGGGAGGGGACAATCGGCGATGCCCCGGTAATGAATGAGCGTTCTATATTGGGCCGGATGGTAGGATCAAATTTCGGTATCATCAAGAGAAACGACTGAGAAAGGCAATCAGCCTGTCTGATTCTTGCTTAGAGGCCGGTTTCGTTGAGTTTTGGCGCCTAAACCCAATTCTACATCTTTCCCACATGCCGCCACGTAACAAGCGAAGAGGTGCCCGTTCCACTCCTGCGCATGTTCAGCCTCCGAAAAGCGACCAAAGAGACCAGTATCAACATGCCATCCCGCGGTTCATATTAAGGCGCTTTCAAGCTGGCCCTCGCAAGTAAGTGCTTGTAATTACCGGACCATGAACTTTCTCTCATCTATTTCGTTCCTTACTAAAGAACCAAGGCCGTGCGACGAGCAGAATACCGTCGTACAGGTGAAGATCCTGATCAGGTCCTTTACTACAACTGTGCTTCTGGGAGCCTCACCGTACGCTCAGTCGGGACAATTTACGGACAAAAAAACCTCTATCGAGATGCTAGTAGTCCTAGCAACGTGAACGAGGTGGAAGAGAAGCTTTCTTTCTTAGAAAGAAAGGCCGCATTGACCATCGAAACTCTTCATTCTGAGCTTGCACGAGGGAAAATAACTATAAAGCGCAGAGACCTCGATGACTTGAGGAAGTTCATGTTCGTGTTACACTATCGTAATATGGGCAGTACCTACTTTGATCCCAAACTTTCGCCCAGCATAAGGCAATGGTTGATTCGGTATCAAACCGAGCATCAGTGCCAGACACACGTCGATGTATGGTTGCACGTCATGCGCTATTATCTGGACACGCCCCATTCCCAGATCGTAGACGACGCCCATGCAGATTTCAAGAAGTATGGTTATGAGGAGGTTTTTAGGCATATTGCGACCGGCGTTGACCCCATTATGGAGCATTCAGAAGCGATTGCATATCAGGTTCAAGCCGAAGGTCACTTTTTAGGCATATGGGAGGCTGAAGCGACATCGGAGTTTATCTTGACCGACGGTGCAGCCGGACTGTGGGAGGGGTTAACGCCCAGGTATGAGATGATTCATCGCATATTTGTAGTCAGTCCCCGTATTGCCCTCGTACTGCGCAGTCACAAAGTTGCTCTGTACGAGTCCGGGGCTCCGATGACGAGCGATTTACTGTCAATTCCCCAAGAAAAACCTACATCTCGACTGGTGAATGGAGAAACTGCCATCAGGCTTTCCAACGAGAATGACATCTCAGAGATCAACCGCCACAGATCCCCCGATGATGTCTTCACTTTCACTGTCACGAAACTCACTTTGGATCAAACTGAGGCTTTAAACACTGTCCTCCTGCGGAATATGAAATATGATGGAGGCATCACATTTTTGGAGAGAGCACACATGTTGCGCACACTTCGTGTGTTCTGGTATAATCCACTACACAAATTTCTCCGCCAAAAATATGCCTCGCTCTTACGCCATCTATCCATCATATCACAACCACTCTCCCATGGATCCACGTCCTCACTGCTCGAACCTGTGGATTCCGAACTTTATGTTGCACTCATGGGAGTTGTTCTGAACCAAACTAAATTTGTGTCCAGATACGATCGGGCCTTATCCATTTATCGACTCTTGCAGAAAACATCTCAACGTCGGACATGCCCTTTTGTGACAGAGCACATATATAATCTCTCGGTCTTCATGGACAGCTTCCGAATCCATATTCCGGGTGCCATGTTCGATAATCATTCATTACGACTCAAAGTCTCCTTGCCATCAGAACTATCACTGAGAATATTTACCATCTTGGAAAAATTTGTTTCCACAACATTGGATGTGAAGATGGATTTCGATGATGATGTTCTTGGGAAGCTGGGAAAAGAGGTTGCTTTGCTTGCTTTTCTTGATCGGATTGGTGTTGAGATGCCCAAGGTTTTGATAAACTTGAAAAACTTGAATGGTGTGTCAGTGATGGATATTTTAACACTAGTGAAGGAAGCTTTTGTTGGCGGAAGGACAACTTAGCGGCGGTTATAAAGGTAGGAACTACTACTTATTATGCTTCGAAACTTCTGCTTATATCTGCTATGATAATTACTTCTAGAATATTCCACAACTTACTCTAATCCTTCGTCGTCGACAATGCTGACTGAACACTATCTCAGTCACACGTTTGAGTCCATTTGAGTACTCGCGAGTCAATTCACAACAGTTTTCTATGTTGTTTAATGAACCTATATATTAATGTTGGATTAGCAAGCAGGAGCTCGGTCGTATCCCGCTGGCCGAGCTCGATACCCCTTTATGTCGGAATGGACAATATATACTGAATGCGGTCTGTCAAGCACCCTCACCGCGTTTCTGCTTATCGCTACGCTGTGTGAGGGTGAGTATCTACTTGTATTACTTCATATATCTTACTGACCAGTACCCTGTAGTCTATGTTATAGCTAACAGTGTATTCTACCAGGTACAGTGATTATACAGTTTCTGCTTATCGCTATGCTGTGTGAGGTCTACGTTATAGCTAACGGCGTATTCTACTAGGTGCTACGAATGCGCGTCACTTTCTTAGAATTAATAAATGCATTAACATAAGGGCAGCGGAATGAGCACAGCAGTTCCTGCTGTCAGAAGCTGTCAGAATAAGGATGGTGGATCTTTGCACTGAGCAAGACAGGGCATAATGCCCTGCCCTCCAGAACAGCTGGTGGATGGGGGGGGGGCATCGTTCTCAGCCCATTGACATGTCAGGACTTGCATTTCTGATGGTCTCTATAACTCGGATTCGGATGGGCATTGCCTCTTAAGGCTTGTGGCACAACATATACTCCAACTAAGCACTATTTCTTCATCCCACCGCGGACCCTGAACATAGGCAAAACGGACGATTGCTGACTATCTTTCTACCGACTTGAGGTTTGTCAATTGTGGCTTATGCCAAAAGACACAACGTTTTTCCCCAAGTCTTGACTTGCCTTGCTTCAAGAATGTTCGCCACCGTTGGCAGGGCTGTACAGATAGATGATCGTCTAGATTCGGACTCAAATCGTTGGGCCGAAAAATTTCCTGAAAGTGCATGCACGGTCCTAGAGTCGAAGAAACGCATGATCTTAACCCACTGCAGGTTCTGTAGATAATAGACCATAATTACGGAACACCTGTTATCTCATCCCCGCTTCGTCTGCCATCTGACTCCATGCTCTCCTCTAAGTCTAATTTCAAGCGAAAGGAGGAGCTGCTTTCAACATCCATTTGAGTGTCACCTGGGTCGATCGCATGATCCCCGAACCGAAGCGATGACACGGTGCTTCCCCCGCTCCGGGACTCGCCAGAGCGTGCATGCCCAGCTGCGATACGACCAAACAAAATTGTAGGTATAATTCCCTTAAACCATTAAGGTCAAGACGGTAAGCCTGAAATAGATACTAGAATGCAATTACCCTCATCTCGCTGGCTACGAGGATCAAATATTCCCCGACTGGGGCGTTGTTGCGAACTTCGAACACCAAGAGAACAACTATTAACGCAGAGTAAAGAGCAGCGGAGTCTACGATGACCTCTATGACTCTGCGATATGTGCGGAACCCTTCCGCGATGCCGCTGACTTTGAGGATGCGGTAAATAATGAAAATCGTGCACCACAATAGGGTAGCCAAGATGAGTGAAGAATAAAGCACAGCCCAGTCGACAGAGTTCAGCACGAAAAGATCCGATAGATCTGGTACGTTGCCGAAAATATCATCGTAGAGTATAATTCCTCTAGTGACTAGATGTGCGGAGATGAGTCGCAGGTAATAGATTTACCCAAATCCTACGCGACCAATTGTATCACAGACTTACTGAGCGCCAAAGTAGTACAGATGGTCGGAATGAACACAACGCGCCAAGACCGTCCCCAAACATTTCAACAACGCCAAATCTACAAATTTAATGAGCAAGCTGTATGCGAAAGAAAGAAAACATCATACCAAAGTGGTATCTGCCAGGAGAGTGCTCAGAGCAGCATTAATATTCTCTATCAAGTTCATTGGCATGGATTCATGCGTGTAGGCATCGTATGTCGTCCAGAAGTTTTGCCCATGTGCAATGAAATATTGGCTACACCGCATCCAGTTGAAGAAAAGGATAAAAGTCGCCATGGCATATAAAAGTAAGATGATGACAATGAAGAAGCGTGGCCTGCGAGAATTTCCACAGTTTTTTCTCGAAACTAGACAGAATTTCAGCTTGTTAGAAAGGTGCAACATTAGCAGAGTAATTTATAAACCAAGGGTCCACATCGTTACAGCCACTACTCCGGTATAAAATCCTGGGAACGGCTTGAGTCGCGGACAGTTAACTGAAGCAGACTGACTCTCTGACCGTGTAATAATGCACACATGACCGTTTCGTTCAATGATCTATCCAGGAATTGGCGGATGTCCTTGACCTCGCTGTTGGTTAACTCTGGGATAGTAGTCTCGGTACTATCGATTCTGGAGAACATCGAGTCTGGAAGGAAGGGCGGAGATGGACTTCAGCGCCTGATCTCACTAAAGAGTCAGTGCTTTATGTAGAATAAATTCAGTACAATATTATCTTGAAACCATCATTACCAAAGATTGCGGCGTTGATGTAGCATACTTACGGTGGGGCGATGAACTCTGTGACTCCCAATGACAACATTGACTTGCCTGCTGTCACACAGCCTGCAAAGGCTGTTAGGCTCATACTATTGCACTCATATGCCAGGGATTAGTAATTATCACTCCAATGCCATGCAACTAGCTTCTCTTTCACTTCCCCTGGCTGCTGCAATCACCTACACAGATTTTTTGCTTACTGTATATGTTGTGACTGTCAATAAAAATTAAGCAATCCATACATCCAAAATCAGTCTGGTGATGGTGAGAACCACATTAATTTTGGATCAGGCTCTCGCCACATCATCGAGACACATGCATTTTAGAACTACAACAAAAAGGACATCCTATCAATTCCACAGGATACATGATTACAAAACAAGGGAAAATTAAGTCCTTGGCACCAGTTCATACCGAAGAATTGTCATATCATCCCTTTGTCCATGTTCTGCAGGCTCAAGAAACTTGGCAAACATTTCTGCCGAAGTCCCAGCTACCAAGTTCCCTAGTAGCTCCACAGCCCGGTTCCCATCTGGCCCCATCCAGCCGACTTCAACGCTATGGTCGAGAGTCTCTTGAGCAAAGGCATCGTCGACCTTGCTGCCAACGAGCCTCCCCACAATGACATCAGGATAAGGTCTATCTGGCTTTTTCATCCTCTGGTCGTCCGGAGTCTCCCCATTCACAATAGCATCGACACCATGGGTATATAGAACCAGAGTCGACTTGTGCGGTCGAAGCTCAGTGAGGTCGATAAAACGGGTGCTGGGCGAGTTCAGGACATACGGCGGTGTCACATTGTAATACCGAATGCCATCCCGGTAGCGTTGCGGTCGTTGTCCTCTCGGAAGTTTGAAGAAGAGCTCCGTCGAGAACTCTGATGCGAACTTGAGACCATAGTCGCCCAAACCTGTAAGCATGGAACAGTGAATACAGGGATAAGATGTGTGAGTTGCGACATACCTCTTGTGTATGGTACGGCACCCAACAACCGACCATTTTCCATTATGGTCTCCTTTTCCTCGGAGGGATGCATCATGGTGATAGAAAGATACTCCTTCGGAGTACACGTGCTATGAAGGGTAAGGAGGCCCTCACCATGTCCTATCCCATCAGGATCTTCACAGGCTATTACTAATTGAACATCAGAACAGCATGTCTTTGCGTAGAGAATAACGACATACCGACAGTTGAATCACCTAGTCCGGCTAACCACATGTTCTCTTGCTCCTCATCGATAAGAGCCAATGACAGCGTGGAGCCAGAAAATGCTCGCTGGAAAATTGGCTTGTTAACATTGACGAGGGCCACCGCCTGCAGGTAGTTCAGAGTGAAGGGGTCTGAACATAGATTCTTGACAGCATTGCCTATCTCTTCATCAAATTCCTCGATCCGTTCCCTCAAGACATTCTTGACCTTGCTAACGAGAGTATCTCGAGATCGATTTTGGCACTCCTCGACGACGTCGCGCAGCGCCTCCTCGATCAGCTGGGGAAGATTGGCAGCGGCATATTCAGATGTATGTGCACCACCATGGCCTGGAATTCATGGTTTAGTCAGATAGAGCAAAGGCCACAATCAAAAGGCTCACCATCGAAGACAGCGAGAAATTTCCACCGTCTGCCATCGATGAGCCATTCTTGCACAACAAATCGGTCTTCGTTCCTGGCACCGGGAGTTGGCTGGAATGTGACCGAGTGGACGCCGGCAGTTATGCTAGAACTACACGAGCTGACGAACAGCTCCCGCCAATGCGTGATGGAACGAGTAGACGACGACATGACTGGTGGATGATCGGTGGCTGAAAAGAAATTTCGCTGAGAAATGGAGCTAGAGTGTTCGAGCCTGTAGATTTCTCAAGTCAGAACATAGCTTATTAAGATGTCAGTGGTCGTAGCTCACCGCAGAATGAGGATCGAAAAGTGGTAATGTGGCGGAACTGGAGAACAATGCAAGACCGGTGGCAAGGTAGTTGAAATGTCAGGGTCCGTGCGGAGAAATCCGTTCATTCGTGATTGGTCCGACCAAGTTTCGTCCTGCACAATTCTGCAATTCAACAGGTCAATCTCAGCGTCAAGCAAGAGCGGATCCAGTCCACTTCCTTCACTAACAGTGATGTGCCCACCGAGGACACCGAATATTGATTGCCGATGGAGATTTTCTCACAGCGGACCGGAAACTGGGTCAAGATGAATTGATTCCAGAGTGCTCAGTCCAGGTAGGAGATATTGAACAAGGGAAGAATTTACCTTTCAATTGCTTTCTGGTTTGCCAGATGTTTGGAAAGAAACCGAAGATTCGAGGTCATTTACAATTCCAGATACTGCAAAAGACGCTCCGTCACTTCCGACCTCAATGGTATGCCTGCTTTGCTCCGCTCGTTACAATTTTCAATGTAGCATCGTCGATCGCCTCGCGGGATCTTGCACCACAGTATTCTTGTGCTCGAAGGTTCGACTCGGAGAAAGATGACCATTTGAGGGTTATGTCAAGGTCGAGGACCCACACATTCGTCTGACAGCCCGAAAAGCGAAATCACCATGTCTCGGATACGGGACTGGACCTTGTGAGTATGGTCTCAATGATCAAGGGGACGTGACTGATACTCGTACCTTGATGCCTTGCATATATTAGGACTCACTAACGTAGCCTTGAGACAAAGGATCATAGAGGCCTCGTAAAGGCAGAGAGATGGGCTGGAGTCCTAATGACGAGGTCCTGGTGAGTAGGGTATTCTTTAGTGCAGCGACATCAAGCTCATTGGAGACAAAGAAAGGTATTACCATGACCGAGCGAGTTGTGATGTGGAGGAGCGCGATATATGATGATTTGGCTCCGTCTGACGCCGATATCAATACGGATGGGAGGACCACTTGCTCAGCAAAAGGGTTGATGAGATCTGGCGTCGCGTCACGCGCGATGAACAGACCCAACATAGAATCACTTGATTCTTTATGGGTTGGCTCATCGGGTTCGATGACAACAACACCAGACCACTCATACCCTCAGCCTCACTGAGAATATGGGTGCAGGTGATATCCATATCCACTGTCTTCTCCAGTGCTTTACCCACCATCCCCATAATAGATCCCAGCTGGATGACATCCCTGATCACCGTCTTTTGTGTGGTCACCTGTGCCATACTTCTCTCAGACTATATTCGTTTCTAGAGGGACAGGGGAATACCTTGTAAAATGCGAGATGTCATTGCTAGAAAACCATGGTGAACATGTCAGAACATGATGCACAGTCCCTCAGCACGCCGACACTTCACAATCAGTCATTCATGGATCCATCTGTTTTGGCTTGATACCTGCCCTCTATCCTGAACGATGGGCCTTCTATTTTAGAGGAGTTCCCAGATGACGTGTTGTTCCCCGGTACACTTGGTGGTTCTTGTTGACTTGGCTCGGCAAACCGCAATACGATTTAGGAAGATCCCGGAGAAATGCAAGGTACTCTGGTGCATACCGTTCGGGTTGCGCCATGCATCATCAACTAGGAGTTGTTAGGAAGGGGTCCTGGGGTTGTATTGATGAAAAGAAGACGCACCTATGCGCTGGCCCCGACGACCAGGAGTTTCCTGTCTAGCAAGGGGTCTTAATGATAGCGACGGTACGGCGCTCAGCCCACTGGAACTGACGAACGACGACACTACGATACTCCCGCCTCACCGATAGGTCTGGAACAATCGGTAACTGCTCCTACGTCGCCGCCTTGGTCGCTGGATACCCCCCCTGAACATATCGACTGATAATGAGTGCGGACAATCGGATGGTCGGAGCTGGCTATGCCCAGTAAAGCTACAGGTATAACTAAATTTTTTCCTTCAGCTCCGTGTGCGATGAAAACGGGTTCGTATCCATACCCTTCCAACGCCTTTTTGGAACGAGTCCCGTCGGTAGATATGGGTCCGTTCTTCCAAGGCGTTCATCAAGGAAATCCCTGTTATTCTTGCAAGAAATCATAGGTATTAGTTGATACAAGAAGGGGAGTGAGCGCCGTCATCATGATGGAAGAAAAGGAGAGAGGGATGGCTACGAACTCGATGGGCCCACCCGATATCCGAGTCGTCACATTCCGAGTCACAGCCTCTTTCCTTCCTCAACGTCCATGAAGCTTTCCACATCACGAAGCTCCTCTTTTCGTCATTGCGCGTCGCTTTTCAGGGCCGTTACCTCTCCAGACGTCGAAGAAGGGAAATAGTGGGAACAGGCACAGGAAATGGTTCTGTTTTCTTCTCTTTCTCGTACTGGTTCGCTGACTATCAACAGCAGCATGCACGTTCCCTCTCCTCGTTCCTTGTCCTGTCTGTAATGGCGCCCAACATACCGTACTGCAAAGCGCAAAATTCAGGGTTGGCTAACCTGTTGATTTGGGAAGGCGAGCGTACGTCGTCCTCGCAGCTTTTACTATCCCGTCAATGTTGACACTGACGCCCAGGATTCGAAGCATTTCTTCCGTCAGGTTGGGACAACGTTCTCAGCATGGAGGATCCTTGCACGAGCTAACCTTGTCGGAAGCGATTCAGATTAAGCCACCAAGGCACGGCATGTCTACAAAGTAGATATACGCGCTTGAAAAGACGGGCTGGGACGCGTATATGCTCTTCGTATGCTTTTTCTAAGAGCGAGGATGCTGCAGTATCCTCAGTGAATCTCTGTCATTAATAATAATGCTAGTTCTTTACGCAACTACATTGTTCAATGACAGAAAACTTATCCTGGCATCCATGACAAATGTACCATTGACTTGGAGTGCGCCGACGTGAACGAGGTTCGGTTATTCGGTTCTCAGCCATCACATAGAGATAACCCATTCTCAATCGCTTTGAGCGTATTCCAGACAATATCACCATCCTTTCAAATGAATGCTTTCCTGAGGATATCTTCACCGTAGGACCCCAGTACGCGCTGCCTCGCCCCGGCATCAGTGCTATCGATTCGTCCTCGAGGTCGACGACATCCGTTCTCTTCCTAGAGATCAAGCCTCCGTAAACTTTGGGCATGTATCGAGTGAGACGCGGCAGATAACCAGTCGAGGAATAGATTCTTTAACTCGCACAACCTGTGTTGTACTCGGAGGCTGTGCGGGATCATTGCCATGAGACGAGGCTCTCTGTCTATACCACCCGTGATTCGCCTATGTAAATCGTGTACCTTTCATGTCCCACCCACTTTCTTCCCATATTATCCTTACAAAAAAGGAAGAAATTTTTATCAGTTGCTTGAAATCAGAGATAGCTGCAAAGATCGTTGCGCTAAGGAAGGGTTCGTGGTGCATCCGTCTGAGCAAGCCTGTATGGGTTCGACTCCCACCCAGACATAGATGAGGAGAATATCATCATGCTCAAATCTTATTTCGTTTTGAAAACAATGCAAGGGGTATCCCAAAGTATAGTCCACTATTGCAGGTCCCCGGGTATTAGAAGTCTAGGCATCGCGTAGCACCCGTCGTTCAATCGTTTTCGCCTGGGACCCGAGTCGAGGTGGATGTCTACTCGCTTAGTGTAGGATGGAAGTACGAAGTAACAAGCTCGTTCTTTTTCTCTTGCGTTCTTTCCTTGATGTGAATCCCGATCATCGAAACAATATACTCTCGGGGCTAGACATGTCTCCGGGACCCCCCATGGCTCGACGTATATAAAGGAATACGCATTGTGACTGACCCTGCCCGCCTTTACGAAAGAAAATGTGGTCATCCTCGTTCTCACCAGTCTTTGTCCCCTCGTCACTGCAACTTTATGAGGCAATGCGTAGAATTTACTCATCGATTCCAGTGAAACGTGCGGAATCTTTGCCCCAATGCCGCCATTGTGGTCGGCGAGGCGCGCATGTTCCGAGATGCCCTTTCCAACAAATAAAGTTCACCCAATAGATCCCTGGCCAACGTTATTCGTGGTGCGTCTTACTTCGTCCTATGCTAGGACTTCCGCTCATTTGACGCACGTAGAACCCGCCAATCTCACACCGTGCCACGCCCATAGAATTCATAGATACAGGTATGCACCACTGTTCCTCACTTTCCTAAATGCTTCGCTTCTTAGCTATCTACATGCACCCACTAGTCCTACTCTTGCTCTTTATTGTACTTTAGGGTGTACTAGCTATAGAAGGGCTAGTTATATTTCGATTACACTATTTTCGGTGACGATATAACACTCTAGCGCGTCTCCCTCAGTTTTTTTATGCGAAGAAGAAACTGGAACAACGTGTAACGTCGCATTTTAGACGATGAGTCTGATTTATTTGCTTCGCAAAGAAATATGTGATTATGCTAGTATGTACCACTATTTTGACATGCTCGAGACGTTAGAGCATACACCCCTTCCCGGAAGTGCTCTCTACTACGACATTGACCATTGCCTTCACGAGCCACTTGTTTGCTGTGCGCAAATGAAAACCAGGTGTTTCTGCAGTATCCTCGTCAGGTACTTATCGAAAGAATGAAAATAAATGGAACGCGTACCGTGATCCATTGCGTCACACCTGCGCCTTAACTTCCACTGAGGTGGGCGGTGTCAAAGCCACTCCGACTCGGAGGTCCCCGAAACAGCCTTGAACCGCTACGGACTCCTATCCCAAGTGTGCAAAAACCTTGTTTTTGATTTATCTCTAACTCGCAAAAGAAGCGCGTTTCTGTTCAAGCTATGTGCAAACCGCTGTGAACGATGATAGATGAGTTTAATGATCAGGTCGGGCCGTCGGGAGTCGAGAGTCGGGCCAAACGCGAGGGTTTACTGCTATTTCAAATCGCATCTTTGATCAATTGATGCTGGCCCTTTCCCAACCTTGCCTGCTCTTCTGCCTTTCCTGCGCAGTCTCGTCCTTTAGCTCTCAGAGTATACGCTTTGACCTTTATACCCGGAAACTATTCCCCTTGTTTGAACAGTCATCACGTGTAATTGACTTGGACCTCTTTCTTTTCTCAACACAAATCATCTGGCTTAATGTCATCATCGCCTCGTTCTCTTCATGACTGGCCAGAGCTGTTCACTCGAATGTGCAGCTCCACTGTTTCTGCCGGTATGCACTGCGTTACATTCCAACCCACGCCTGGAACCCCCAACCAAGACCGATTTGTCGCCCAGGAATGGGATTTGGATGGTCGGCGATGGAAATTCCTTGCCGTCCTCGATGGTACGAACATGGTCTTCCCATTTCCATTGGAAGATATTGATAAGATCGTTTTTGAAAGGGCACGGGGGAGACTGCACAGCTGAATAAAGTGCTGCCACACTCCCAGGAAGGATTGAAGAAGAACTGCACGGGGTCGTTGAGCGATACAAGGGGCGGTCCCGAAAAAAGATATACGAAGCGGGTACAAGAGATCTTGAGCTGCCAGATCTACTATTTTGATAAAGGAATTGGTGATGCCATTGAGGAACTCTGCCCCGATTCGTCATTGCTCGACGACGAACAAGCCCGCAATCTCGTGAATACCACCAAGAATGTGTTTCAAAGGGCATTGTTTGGTTCTACACTTGCAGTAGCTCTCCTCGACGATGAACGAAATCATCTATGAGTAGCTGGATTGGGTGATTCCACTGTCGGTGCGCCAGCTTATTTCTGATTGTAAATGACTCTTTTCTAATCCGCTGGAAATAGGACTGGCATATACTTCGCCGGAAGGATATGGCAATGGAGAGAGGCTTCTGACCCTCCACAGCACGCACACACCGTTGGAATACTTCACGATTGTCATGCGTCATCCCACAACAGAGAAGACAACAATCATACAGGACGAATGTCTATTGGATATTGCCCTACCTACATGAGGTTCGCTTTACAGTTCAGAGGGTTATGTGGCACAAGGTTCACCTTAGGACTCAGATTCGCCATTATACAACCGGGAACGCAAAGCTGTGAATATTCCCATATTTTCCGGCAACGCACCTGTCTTCATAAGGACTTGCGTAGAGGCATTCATGTGCTGGTTCCCTGGCACACGGGAGGGTCGATGCTGCTAACCATGATCATTATGGTCACGGATGTTCGCAAGCCCACTTCAATGGGGATGATGTCTTCCTTAGACTGAACTAAGGCAAATTGACTCGTCGGTCTCGATGTGTGTCTGGAAGGATTCGGAGGGTGAATTGTGTCTTCTCCATTTCTGGTCGTGCGAAAGCATATGAGGATCTGGATGCGAGGCAGACGATCGTCTCCATTGTGGCCATCTTCCCCTCCTCGGTAAGTCATCAGTAACCTGGTCAGAATTGAAAGCGGGTGTTAATATTAAGAATAGAAATATACTCACGTGAGAGAAAAAATGGTTGAATAGGAGAAGTTGAACAAGTGAATGTGAATGTTTCTTTTGTTCGCCCCAAATTTGAAAATACCGAGCGGTGAATACCTCTTTGGGAATCGATTGCAGATTTTGCTTCCGCAGATGGTTCCTGGCTACGATTTGAGACTGATCTAGATAGCTTGAACTTGAACGTATATTGATAAAAGAATATAGGATACAAAAATAATTTAAGAGCGTAAAGGGAAAATAACGAGCATGGTTCGCCATGAAGATCATCCTGTCAAGGGCGGATGGAGAGAAGACTCTGGCTTATCGACATCGCTAGTGATTGCAATATTCCAAAGGCGAGATTTGCAGGTCCACAGTGATACGTGCCTTGTGCATCCTCCTTGTATTTCGAGTCGAATTCTGTGACTTTCTCTCGACTGCGATACCTATAGGAAGAATCGGCGCTGTCGTACGAGCACACCTCGCTCGATCTCCCTGTTTGGCAGCCTGGCTGAGTGACTGCTTCGAGTTGTGATCAGGAGATGACAGTGTTTATAGATATCGATGCCACAGCTGGATTACATGAGCTTGTAGACCCGCGAGACAGTACCTACAGCTGCTCGTTCTGTCGCCTTTCCCTTCTTGCAGGACGAAGGGCTGGCGTTTTCACTTCTCCGAGCGTTGGTGAGAGTGCGTGATGTGATGCGCCTTGGATGGAATCAAGGTAAGTTTGGGAAGCGAAGCGAGTGTGCAGAAAGCGGCCATCGAATTATTCTTCCGTATTGCTGGACCTGACACTGCCCTTTTTTTTTGCTCTTGAACACGGGTTGGCGATTTGAATCCTTTGCCATCCAGCCAGCTCATTAGGTCCCTGGGATAGTTCGAACGAAAGTCACGGAGCCAAATTCTACAACGTCGTCGATCGTCCTTGCTTTGCACTGCTCAGCTTTATTAATAATTGTATGTATCGGCCCGAGCTTGACAAGGCAGCAAAGAATGGGAAGTTGTCACAAAACTTTGGAACCTCGTGACCGCATAGCATGTTAAGTCTGGAAGCTCCTCCGTACAGTTATAACTGAACATTGAAAGAATATGGGACTTGGTGACGAGACACGCAGAGGTCTATGAGGGACGAAAATGAAAAAAAAAAAAATTTTAGGATAAGCAGCCGAAGTTGTTAGGTTTCTCCGGAAGGTCTTGTGTGTTCCAGGATTTTGTGACAACTTCCCGAGTCCCGATTTCCGCCACCGTTGAGTTTTCGACAGATGCATGTCATCGAGAAGGAGAACAGTTTCTCCCTTACTCATGTCGAAGTCACCTATCATCGACGACCGCAGCAGGAGTTCCATTATACAATCCATTTGGTAAGCAGAGCTTTGAGCGGAGGTTCAAGGTGCAATTTCTTTCCTGACTTTCTCTTTCCGACGGCCATGAGTATCTGAAGTTATCGCGTAACGGAGCCGTAATGAACTAAAGGGCTTCACCGTCAGTCGCGTCGAATGCCGGAGTACGCGTCCAAGTTTGAAGTGGACAAAGTTGACCAAACAAGCAACGCGTCTCTTCCCTTCCCACTATCAGTATCATCCTGCAATGCTTGTCACTTATTTCTTTCGATACTCTGGCACCAAAAGTGGCATGCATGGATCTTAAGGGCATAATTCCTAAGTAATGCGCCGCAAAACCCGTGCATAGTGACCTCGCTGATACTTCGGTAGGTCAATCACCGCTTCCTGACGCGTCGGATTTTCCTTAGTTTACGACAGGCGAACAGAACCTTTTTAATTTGGCTCGAAGCACCTGCGCAGTGCGCGTGAATCCTATATTTTGTAGTAATACGTCTCCGTCTGTCCAGACGGCCATCCTTCTCCGAACCCAAAAAGCTACATAAGGAGGGCGATATTCGCTCCCATTGCTCGTCGCACTAATCATGCTCATCGTGCTGTCCGTTCTGTGCTATGCTCTCTTGGCTGCTTCTGCTCCCCAAGTCCAACTAGGCAAAACCAAGCTCATTGGAAGAGATGTTACAGGGCTAAAGCAAGACTTCTTTGGAGGTAAGCCAACATGCTGTATGATGATAGTCAAGGCTAAAATGAAAGCTAGGTATTCCATTCGCCGAACCTCCAGTCGGAGCTTTGCGTTTGGAGCGTCCTGTATTGAAAACGGACATCGACGCTGATGAATTCGACGCCCGGAATTTTGGACTACCCTGCCTACAGACCGTAGGTTTTCCGCTTGATATAAGTGATTCCATTATAATGGCAGAAATAACAGAGCCTTGCTGCCGACGAGATGTCTGAGGATTGTTTGTCCATCAACATATTTCGGCCGACGGGGTTGTCTTCTGGGGACTCTTTGCCCATCATGTTCTGGTAGAACTATATCTTTCACTCATGTGATCCTTGCGCTAATGACAACGAAGGACCTATGGTGGCGGTTTCGCTGGAGGCGCTTCGTCGAACTTCAATGGAAGCAATATCGTTGCCCAGAGTGTTACCAGAGTAAAGTTCCGCATTCTATCTACGTGTTCGTGACTAATTGCCTCCAGGGAACTCCCATCATCTATGTGAACTACAATTATCGGGTAGGGCCATTAGGTTTTCCCCAAGGACAGGAAGCCGAAAGCAGAGGACAGCTCAACCTCGGACTCAGAGATCAGTTAACTGCCTTGGAATGGGTTCAGCAGAATATTGGCTTGTTTGGTGGTGATAAAACCAAGGTGCATAAATTCGTTATATACACGTTCTCTTGATAACATTCCGGGGTAGGTAACAATTTTCGGAGAAAGTGCTGGATCTATGATGACGAATTTGATGCTTCTAAATTCGTCGATTTCCAACTTTGCCTGGGCTGCGGTACGCATACTGTCATTTCACACAAGTTATCATTCTGAATCCATGACCAGATTTCTGAATCTGGTTCAGCGTCCTCCCCTGTCATCTATAATGCATCTGCACGAGAATCTACCTGGCAAGATTTTGTTGCAGGGACAACAGGCTGCGAGTCCGTCGCCGGCACGCAGAACACTTTCGGCTGCCTGCAGGCGGTGAATTCGTCCGCTATATACTAAGGAATTGTGGAGGCCTATGCATTAGCTATCGAAGATTTTCCTTTTTATCCTGTGCTGGACGGTCCTTCGGGTGTTCTTCCCGATCTGCCTACACAACTCTGGGCGAAGGGCAAGTTTGCCACAATTCCTTTCATCTCAGGCACGAACTTAGACGAAGGTATGGTATGAATTTCATAGAAAGGCCGAACTCAACGTTAGTGTTCATTAGGGACTGGTCAACAGACAAATCGCAGCTTCACCGATGAGGACATCAAGGATTACATACAGACCACCTATTCGGCTTTCCCACCTTACATCCCTGATGCTATCCTGGACCGCTTTCTCGAACTGTACCCTAACGATCCATCCTTGGGTTCGCCGTATGGCACCGGAAATGAAAGTTTTGGGTTACCCGTAGGCTATAGGAGATTGGCATCCATGAGCAAGCATTGTTTCTTGTTCCCATTGTGAAGTGCTTAACCATCAATTTCAGTGGGAGACTTAACCTTTGATGCTCAACGTCGAACATGGACACAGGCTGCTGCGCGAGCAGGCGTGAAATCGTACGGTTATCAATTCGCACAGAATTCCTCGTCTTGGGCGCCCTACTTTGGAGGTGGATCTCGTCTTTCCTGAATCCATTTGAGTTAGTACGTACTGAGATATTTGCCAGTGACTCATTCAGCGGAACTAGAATTTATCTACGGAGAACTGGATTCCTCCACTGAGCCGGCTTCGTCGATCTTGCTGGGTGAAATGATGGTCGACTACTGGGTTTCATTTAGTACGAGCTTGGATCCCAACGATGGCTTAGGGACGTCTCGTGAGTGATTCTCATGCTGCTGGTTGAATGCTTGCTAATCAATTGGCAGGTCCTAACTGGCCACAATACACACCGGATAATGAGGCATGTTAAAATTACTCGTTGGAATGGTTTCCTTTCACTGATCGTGGCCCCCAGGTGCTCATACAATTGAAAGGCGAGAATATGACTGTAATTCCGGATGACTATCGGGAGGAACAGATCGGGTTCCTTAGGGATAATGCTGTCGTTTTCCACCGGTAAAGTCTATAGCGTGTTTATGTCTCCCTCGGTATTACTAAATCAATGAGTGCGCATAATTTGCCTTTTTTTATTTTGGAGCAAGTCTATTGAAGAATGCATAAGAGTTATTGAATGAACACCCACCATGTTGTTAAGCCTCTTTGTGTGGTTGAAAGTGTTGCCACACGGGTGAGCATGAAAATGAGAAGAGCAAAGTCAGGTGCACAACGAATGAAAATTAGGTTGGACGTACTATTCACAAGTACCCCCGTCATCTGAGGCAGCCTTGATAGCACCTTTAAGACGATCCCGGACCAGCTTTGCAGGACATGCGCCAAAAGATAAAAATTCCTAAGTCTGAAAAGTTCTGATGCGTATCCTCCTCCTCCTGCACCTTACGTGTGGCGTTCAAAACGACGTCGAAGACATCCTTGTCACTTTGTAAAAGAACGGAATAAGCCATCGTTGACTTTGTCGACATCTTTCAGCAATTGTTCCGCGAACACGGTTAGGAACGCGAGTGTGAGCTTGTCAGTAGGATCATAGGTCATGGGAAAGGCTTTTTTTTTTGAAATGCCTTCGCGTGTAAAATCGACAGCACTTTGAATATCTTCGAGGGTGAGTCGTTCATCGAGAACGAATGGGGGAGAAGAGCGTTTGCTCGGAGGGGGCCCGCCCGAGGGGAGATATCACTATCACTATCAGAGCGCGAGTATTTGGTAAGAGTAGTTACGTCTCCGTCATTCATGATGATGAAGAGAGATAGCTTGGAATGTCGTCAAGTCACTACGGGGGTGATCATTCAATCGCGGAGGCTGAAGATGCTGACCAAACATTAACATTATGAGACCCAGCGAAAAGTGTCTCGAAAGGGAAAAAAAAATCAGATAATCATTTTCTGTAGTATCGCACCTTAGCTCCTACCTGTCAAAAATTTAACTATAGATTTAAAAACATCTTGTGAGCCTCCAATCTTTTTTTTTCAGGTGCTGTGAGCATAGTCATAATATTTGGCTGTTCGCCTTCGGTCTACCAAGATAATCAAAGAAGATGAGAAATTCAAATATGCCGGGATGCTATGATATGATAATTGAACAGAACAGTCTCCTGTGATCTTCGGTCATCATCATATTACACGGCATGGTCCGCTGTAGGTATAGACACAACAGCATAATACTATACATAACTTATATACAAAAGGAACACATTTGCATTCAATACCCAGCTCCTTCAACAACAGACGCTAGACTCTTCGCCACCGAAGCAGCCAAAAACTCTGGATCCGAAACGGACCGTGGCCGCAACGACATACGGGCACTGAAAACATCCAAGCACGCCGTTCGCTCGCCTGTAGGAACAGCCTCTCTGGGAACGAGTTGGAAGGGCACATCCTCGTCCGGGTTCTGGTCCCATTCCGGTTCGATCACGAAGTAGATGGTGTTCCTCTTATCCTCCTTGGACGTTGGCGTAGGAGGTGGTTCGTAGGTGGGAGCTGGTTTGGGAGGGGGAACAGTCCTGGTGGATTTGGACGAGTGAGCGGAATGTAGGGATTTAGAACTATCGGTGTCGGCGCTCCGAGCTGTTCTGAGAGAGGGCGTCGACTTGTAGCTTGATATCGTATTGGGGGGATATAGCAATCTGGGGGTAAGTGGGATGTTCGGAGTCGAGGGGGGGTCAGGCGTCGTCGGGACTTGAGGCGTTGTGGGCAGTTTAGGCGTCATGGGTGGCCTAGGTGACGGTGGTAGTATTGGTACCGGCGCATAGAACGCGTTAACTTTACCCAGATCATGAGCACTCAGGAGCGGAGTAGGTGGAGGAGAACCGTCAGCGGGGAATATGGAAAGTTGGGCCTCGTTGCCAGATGCTGAGTCTGAGAACCAAGCTGCAGAGTTGATCGTCAGCAGCGCAGGAAATTTTCGGGATACCTTGGTCACGCTTTTCGCCTCGCTTTTTGTTGGCACCTCCAGGTTAGCGGGTTTTTTGGGAGCTTTTTTGAGCACATTACGGCCTAAAGATGGCTGTTTTTCGTCGTTCGGCAGTGACTCTGCAGACTCAACGGCGCCGAACTCTGATACGACCAGAGTCGGAGATTCCGGAAGGCAGGCGGGTGGAGGCACCGATGGCTTAGATGATTTCCGACTGCGAAACAGTCGCTTCCAACGTCCAGTCGACACTTTGCTGTCTGATTGAACTTCGTCGGTGCTAGAGCTATTGCGGCTCAACTCGGAATCGCTCCTGCCAAAAGGAGAAGCAGATCGTGGGGTGTCATCAGTGGGAAAGTCGTAAGGGAAGTCTATGATACCCTGCCAGTTATTTCAGTATGTTTTAGCGGCGAACAGAGCAGACCATGCATACCTTGCACGAGGATGGTGACGGAGGTCCTTCAAAGGGTGGCCGATCCCTTGGAGTAGGTGCAGTGCGTCCACATATCCGAAGATATCCGGGGGGTACAGAGGCGGTAGACCCAGCTGACAGAGTGAGAGGCAATAAACAACTGACAATGTCTCCTCGTGGTGGAACAGGCGGATTCTTTTTGGGCAGAGGACTCGGTGGGGTTTCGTCAACATTAGGCGGCTCATCGAGTGTTGATTCCTCATCTGGGGGATAACATGGCTCGTCGTCAAAAATGCTACCGCCCTCCGGGATTGGCGACAGAATACGGGGATGATATGGCTGATAATATATTGTGCTGCTCGGAGTACTGTAGGACTGCTCTGACGCGCTCAGCATCTCCACCTCGGCATCTGCCACCTCAACCAGTGAAGGTGGGAATGGAGGAGGTGACGGATTCCACACCATACTGCTGGACTCTGACGACGCGTCGCTGGTGTTAGACGTTTCTGACCCGTTATCTGCCACAGGAGGCGGCGAGGGGGAAGAGTGGCAGACGGGCAGTGACTGCGGAGGGGCACCAAGACTAAAATTGATCTTATTAAACAGACGCGACGACAAGGACTTCTCTGATGATGTCGTCGATTCTGGCTGGTGGGCCATAGATAGAGACGATGCTTCAAACGAGGGAGGGTGCGGAGAGAAGGGAGTGTGAGAGGAATATGAACCGAAAGGGATAAGGAACGTCGACTGGCGTAGGTGGACGACCAGGAACAAGAGTGGAGGATGCTAACTGCCTCGCGTTTGAGGGAGGTAATGAGTAAACCGACGTCCTTTGGTCAAGTTTGTCACGGGATCGAAAAGGGAAAGGTGGCAAGAGCGGCCATAAGACAACAATGAACCTCCGGGGTGTTTTATGACAGTTTTTGAACAATGAAAGTGGCATGAACTTCACCTAAAATCATGCCTGCGAACGTCTAGTGGGGGAAAATTTTACGAGCCTGCACATGTCTCAAGAATGTGAGGACGCGACTGTGTCTTTATTTTATCGGCAATTCTATCCATTAATGTAACCTATATTACAGACCCTAATCAGCACTACTCAAGCATGTTGTAAGACAACATGGCATACGACGTCTCATTGCTGCCTATCGAACTTCTTCCACGCGTGTTTCTCGTATTCCACTGTCCGTGTTCTCCGTTTCCTAGGTCTAGACATCCCACAAATCAGCGCCTCATCAGAACGAAAAATCACGGGGCTACATACACTACGAGCGCGCGAGGTTCAATCCTTCCTCGGTGTTGCAAACTGAGGAACCGATCCCTGAACAGATTACCTTCAGGCTGCAAAAAATATTGCGAATCAGGGGGACGAATGTACAAGGATACCAGATACTCACTTTGAGCGCTCTTAAACTTTCGCTTAGGTCTTCTCCCAGCTGCACGTCTACTTCACCCTCTGCCACCTTGTGCTTCCCAAGCTTTTGCCCCGACAGCCCTTTCTTCAGCTTGGTTTCGGCCAAAAGCCAACGCTGTTGACGCTCTGCGTCGCGCTTGGCGCTATTTATCTTCGCTTCTTTGCTTAAAGCTTTGACTCTGTCAACCGTGGCCAGTATACGTTTATTAGCAGCTCTCTGTGCCAGCGCACGTTTCTGGAAGGTCACATTAGCATGGTGAAAGAGTATCAGGATGATCTACGCTACGAACCTCCGCCAGTACCTTGGCAGCCTTTCTCCGCTGTTGTTTCGTCTTCCTCTCTGGGGCTGGTTTACTGAAAGTTTCTGAGGGCTCCTCCTCCTCATCAACCGTAGTGGCGATATCGACCTTCATTCCGGGTACGCCGCTATTACCATCATCCTCACCCACACGTGCGTTCTCCATCCGGTGTTTCACCTCTGCCAGCTTTTCAGCCTCGGCGATCCTCTTCTCCTCGATCCCGTGAGCTTTGAGAAGGAGCTCGCGATGTGCATCGGCTGGAGGGTTATAGGATGTCCCAAGGTGGGGCTCGACCACTGCCGGGACCTCGATGATCTTTCGGGGCTGTGAATGCGTTGGCGCCTGTCGTGATGCATTAGCTTGCGATAGCACCACCCACAGTACAGAAAAGCAAACCTTCACGGGCTTTTTCTGGAGACACTCTGTTCCCTCTGGCACTTCTACTTTCTCCTCTGCGTCTGCAGCCCACGGGTCGAATTGGCCACTGTTTTTCACCGCTTCTGTTAACCCAATGACAGCACTCCCTGCACCGAATTCTGTAGGGTCGACAATGCTATTGAAAGGGCCTTGTCTTGGACGCTTCGCAATACGCAACATCCGTTCCTTCTCCTCCCTCGTCACCGCTGCCTTTCTCTTCCCGTAAGATGTCGTCCGTGAAAACACCGCCGGCACTGCCGATCGCTGGGCAAGAATCTTTGCTGCAGTAGTTTGCGATGCGAGTGACTTTGGTATGGATTTCCGGACTAGAGATATCTTTGTAAAACAATGATTCAACTACAGAAGGACTTGAAATGTCCCGTACCTTGATCATCGCCGGCGACGTCAACGAAGAAAAGACTGTTATCGGTGGTTTTCTGCAAAGGTTTACTGAAGCAAACGTGAAGAAGACTGGCGGGAATCAACAAATAGATAGAACACCTACCCTACCACCCTCTCTTCTTCCCTCATTCCTTCCAAGGCCTCTTCGACGTCTTCAATATTAACGTTTTTGCGCCATGCTCGTTTGCCCTTGCGGCTCGACTGATTATGCTGGGAAGGAGCTCCTACGGCTGACCGCATGGGTTTGGCTTTGCTTTTTGTTTTTGAAGCAGAAGCGGACATGATGGTAAAGTGTGGAACAAAGGCGCAAAGCCAGACGTGAAAATTAGTGGGGCAAAGATAGATCTTACATAAGCATAGACATCCGTGGCTAAGCGGCAAAGCGCCGGATGCCAAGTTCTCAGTTCGATTCCAGGCTTCGCTCGTTTTTCTTTTCATCCGCCTAAAAATTTTCATTATTATTGAAGAGATATTTATATTGCTTCTTGTTAGTACTGCTATTCCATGAAGCACATCTGTGACCGTAAATAAAGTTTAGTAAAGTGCATGCAAAGAGAGGCGCTCGGATTCTGCCCAATTTCCAGAAATTGCTCCAGAAAATCCAAAAAGTCGAAAACGACACGACGTCCAGTAACCATCAAGTGTCCCCCCCGAGATATCTAATATATAAAACCCTGGCAGCAAAAGATACATGTTGCTTACAGCGACATACTTCGATCGTGCCTCACAGTAATGGCATTCTCTTGCCTCGACTTGTTCGACATCTGTTCCCATATAGGATCCACATCTGGCCCTTCCAAGTCTCCAGCGCCATCCCATCCCCAACACCAAACTACAAAATTAACACCGTCAGAACAGTGCGCAGTAATTGCCAAAAGCTGGATAATACCATAATCCGGTCCAGGAACAAATATCAAAGGCTCACTCTCCTCTTCCGTGAACAATCGATCGTGCGGGCCGAACCACGAGCGGTCCTGGGGATCTGTGCGAGGGTTGTCGGGGAGTCCTCCTAGCCGCACATACCCACGAATAGCAGTGAGATTCCGCCTCTGCGGATGAATGATGTCGAAAACTTTCTGTTGCATGGTCAGAAATCATAAACCCCATTGATAAATCCCCAAACACCACGAGGAGATTCGCTGGGCGCTGACAGATGTTCGACGGGAATTTTCAAGAAAATCGCTTCCCGATTGTCTCGAACCCTTACCGCCGAATGTTCCGCGTGGTGACAGGAAATTTAGGAAAAACCACTCACGCTATCATATGCCAACTTGACTCTTGGAACCATCAATATCCGACCGTATCCCGATTCCCAGTAATCGTTGCAAATGAGACTGCACTCTGAGGCACTGCATTCGCCGTCCATGATCTTGGCCATCCTGAACCTGACGTGAGGAGGGGAGTAGAACGGGGCGGGATCCAATATGGCGATACCATTCCAACACGACTGCACCTGGACCGGTAAATGTCTCTGGAAGCGCTGTGATGAAAGGGGATGGTGGAATATCTGCTCGAAGGGCGCGTTCTCCAGGGCGGTACCGTTAATATCTCGAGCGACCCAGTTGTCATAGAAAACAGGGGCGCCAATATCCTCGTGGTACATGTAATCGGCCGCGCAAGTGATACCAGCGTTGTTGTTCCGACTCTGCCAGATGAGCTCGAGCAGATCATCAACACAAGGCAGAACGTCGTTCATGAATATGATAGTGTCGAAGTACTCGTTCTCAGCGTCACGTAACTCGTGGAGAGGCACGAACGCGGCATTCCGTACCTCGGCAAGATACTCTATCCTATGATTGAATGCGCCTCTAGTACGCATTGAAGTTCGGATGGTGATACGCATTCCAACACTGCGGGTAAGGGCATCGAATATCCGTAGCAGAGCTTTGGTCTGGTCCGTAGAGCCGTTTTCGTAGATAGAAACGAACACGTTGTGGTAACCCAAAATGGCGGAAACGCGAAATAGCGCGGCGAAGAGGTCTGGTATGACATCGAAGGAATTGTAGAGATTGATGGCGAAGAAATATTTGTGGTCGCTGCCCATGACATCGCGCCGTGAACCTGCGCCCTGGAAAGGCTGCTCGGCAGCATCCGTGAAGCCAAAGGTATCGAACCAGGATTTCCGTGAAAGACTTTTGTAGCCCATGAGAGGAGCATAGCGCTCTATGGCCTGCTGGGAGTAGAGTGGTTGAGCACTTCGTGTACACTCTCTGGTATAATGGGGGGTCAGCGTCGTCAGGAGGTCGAGCACCCGTAAACGCTGGTCGGGCGTCGGTTGCTGTATTGGCTGCCGGGTATTCTGGCGCGATTTTGCAGGTACATAGCTGCTTCTCCATACTGGAGTGGAGGACTGCAGATGGGTAAACATAAGGCAGTAGTATATATCGCAGAGGAACGCACGCCTGTCCATGGAAATAATCTAGCAAATATCATGCCCACAAAAATACCAATAGCGAGCGCAATGGGCGTCGGCACCTTTTTGATCTGCTGAACGACACCATTCTGCTTGTTCATCGTGCTGTACGATGGCGAGAGCAAAAAAGACGGTGGACGTTCGGGTGAAAGTGACAGGTCCGAGGATAGGAGGGCCGCTGAACACTCTTCCCGTTCTACCACCACCATCATTTCTCATCATCTGTTCATCGTCGTGGTCGTTGCCAGTAGCGCATGCAGCGACGACGAGGACCGGCTCACATATCTCCTCCAATACAATCGCCCTTGAGGATGTCCCCCGACGAAAAACAATCTCGTCTCAACCAGCGCCATTTCGGCGTAAAAGCCAGAGTATGGGTTCTTCTCGGTCTCTTCATCGTCGTCATTTCGCTCCTTCATTATATCCTTCCTAGTACACCAACCTCGAAGCCGTATACCACCGTCAACCTCAAGTCCAAGAATTACCTTAATAACACGCACGACGAGCCAAATCCATTTGAATTTTGTCCTGTCTATGGCCCTGGCGACGCCATCGGCGCCAAATATGGCGCTCTGAAGCTCTCGCAGAGCAGAATGCATCTAGGCAGCAGCGCCAGAGTCACTAGAGTCATCAATAGAGCCTTGGCAGGTCAGTCTGTCACCATTAGCGTCCTCGGGGGTTCAGGTGTGTTTTTTTCCGCAGCACTCTGCGTCCATTCTTACAGTATTTTTTGTAGTGTCTGCCTGCCATGGTGCTGGGGACGATCCAGTAGCACCTAGATGCTACCCATCGCGCTTCTTTGAGTGGTGGAATACTGTTTTCCCTCACCCAGCCTCTGAACTTACTAACGGCGCCATGCGACGAACAAACTCCGCCTACTATGGCTATTGCAGCATGCACCACATTCCAGACGTTACTGACCTCATCATCGTTGAGCTTGACTCGGATGATCCCGCGGACAAGGAGATGATGGAGCACTTTGAAACTCTTATTCGATCCCTCCTCATTCGCCCCGATCAGCCGGCGGTTATTCTTCTGGGACACTTCAGCCCCCAGGTCCATGAATCCAGCGGTTTCGCCGGCCCAGACCACTGGCACAACGTGGTCGCCCAATTTTACGATGTGGCGCACATTTCGACCAAATCAGCGCTGTACGCCGACTATATGAGCGACCCTGAAACCGTTTCCAAATATTTCGTCGATCCAATCCTTGCCAGCCCACTCGGCCACGAACTTCTCAGCGACGTCCTCGTCGCTTACTTCCAGGCGCAGATCTGCTCTGCTTGGGCTGTCGCTACGGGAACCTCTTATGACACCGTGCCCAACCGGGTGGATGATAATGGACTCGGCGATGTCCATGGGTTATTTGGTGGAGTGGGTCAGCGGAAAGGAGTACCGGAGCCCGGAGACGAGGATAAGGAAGAGGTTGACGCCGAAGGAAACAGGGTCAAGCCTCAGTTGCTTCCGCCCACCAGCAACGCGTACGTTCCACCACTGCACGTTCCTCCTGGCAGGATCAACACACGTCCCAAGTCGGACGTGCCGTTCGAGGAAATTGCGCCGTACTGTGTCAGCGCGAACGATCTCATCAACCCACTTCCTCCATCGCTGTTTTATGGTTCCGGATGGTACGCAGCACACCCGCAGACTGGTAGTGGCGCCATGCAGGCCACGAGCCATTACTGGCACTCTTCGTTGCCGTTGAGCAAGATCAGGATCCCCATACAGGTCGGCGCAGGAGATATCGGGGTGTACTATCTCCAAGAACCGGCATCCTCCGTTGGAGGAGGAAGTGCTGTGGAATGTTGGGTCGACGACAATTATGCAGGAGCGAAGGTATTAGAGAATGCTGCCGAGATCGGGGAGCCTGGAGCAACGTGAGCATAACAAATTCGGTCGTGTGCTCATAACTGATGGATGGCTTGATAGACTCGAACTCATCGACCATTTTGTGACGCGTGGCTCACACTTTATAGAATGCCAACTATTGGGAGAGGAAGGGCAAACAGTACCTGCATTCAAGATCATAGGTGTATTTGCAACATGATCGGTTATTTCTCCTCTGGATTATATTATGGGTCACTGTCACTTCTTTTCATCTTCGTTGCATAACGATTGTTAGATCTGCTATCCACGACTTTCAGGTATTTGTGACGTGCGCGCTGATGTCTATTGTCATTTCGTCTGGAGGAAGTTGTTGGACGTGGTGACAATGCCTGATCTCCTGCTGCATATTCTTTAGATTCGGAGTCCTCTTCATGATCCAAAAGCCCAAAGATGTTTATAGCACTATATCTCAGTGTATTCTGGCCAGTGCTTGGCAATTTCACGTATACTGTCACACATTTCTTATCAACTGGCCGTTATGGAAGGCTTTATCCGCGATGCTTCTTAAATTGCTGAAGTGTGTGCCTTCGAAACACCATCGAAGATTCCACTTCAAACGACGCGCTCCTGGGACGATGGGGGTTTCAATGTTCTGGAACTGGAGTAGGCGCGCTGGTTCTGCATTCACTCGATGGCGGTGCATCTTTGAGGCTTGGTTGGAGTGAACATCTTTGTTTTTCCAGTAATGATCCATGTTTGGACGACATATGTGCGTCGTAATTCCAATTCAGGACCCTTCAAGCACTGTATAGCCTCTGTGATGGCTGGGTGACCGGGTTATGCTCTTTACCCTTCGCAGGTGTCGGCCTAACCACCCTCAAGCCATCCTCCTTGTTCCATTCAAAATTCTCTGAACTGTCTCCTTTGGACGATTGAAGACTACAAGTTCAGCTCTTGCCTAACGAACGGTGATCGACAGCTACGGTTAAAAAGTGACACAGAACTAAAACATGACGAGAGTGGGATTCTCTGTTTCTATGAAGCATAAGAGTCAAGAAATTCGGCTTGTAAGCAGGAAGCAATGAGTGAGCCTTCAAGCTTTAACTTGGCGTAAGCAAGTTCGCCCGCAGGGGTCAGAATAAGATCAATGACGGCCCGAGGATGCCGTGCAATCCCTTACTTACTTCCGCCATCACCATGGCGCAGAGACTCGTTCAATTAATCTACATTCATGGCTTTAGAGGTGCTTTCTCTTCGTCTTAAACATTGGAAAAAAAACTATTGAATATGCATTCCAGGCGACGATACCACTTTCCAGGTCCGTCTGTCCTGCCCTGGAAACCGTAGTCTCGTTCAGCATGCTGTATAGTCATTCCCCTGCGATCTACAGGGATACCTCGCAGCTCGAATACCCCCAGAACTCAATATCCACATCAGAAGCAGCCTATACCCCACGTACAAGAGCGTCAAGCCTATCTCGCATGCCACCAAAAACTTTCTCGAGTGGTAAGCGCCCATGCTCTCGGCTGCGGCTGCTAGGCGCTCACTGTTTGGGTTACTCAGGCTAACAACACAACCACCGGGGCCTGTAATTCTACTCGGTCACTCGATGGGCGGTCTCTTGGCGGCTGAAGCCGCGACACATATATCTAATAATCCCGACGGATACAGGCCGCATCGCATCGTCGGAATGGTAGCCTTCGATACACCGTACCTAGGCATGCACCCTCATGTCGTTATAACCGGAATCGCGTCCCTCTTTACCGATGATAGCAAGGATAAGAAGACAGAACGCCAGATGAATGAGCATCCCGACGTTCAGATCGTCGATAGCAATGTTACCGACGAATGGGAGACCTTCCGGAAGAATATAGGCGGTATGTCGCTCAGTCCATACATCAATCAATCCCTGCACTCATCCACTGGATGCATAGGCCGGACATCATCTTCTTCCCTGCTGCTCTTCCCCTCCCACTCATCCTCGTCCCCACCTTCCCGCTCACCCTCGCCCTCGCTCATCGACCAGACGATGAACTTCCTAAACTCGCACGCCGATGATCCGTTGGTTCGTTGGGCCCGCAAACACTCGGACGAACCGTTTACCGCCAGCAAACGTTGGCTCGTTGAGCATTTTCAGTTTGGCTCGTGCATGTTCGATCCCGCTGGGTTAAAGGCCCGATACACGGCGCTTGTCAAGTGGAATGGCGGTCTATGGGTGAACTATTGGACACAGACAGTGCCCCGAGTACAGGAGGACGCGCATGTACACGAGGCGGATAACGACGTGGCCCTGCTTCAAACAGGAATGGCAGAGACCCTGTCGATCACTTCCTCAAGTTCCTCTTCGTCTTTACCCTCGCTGGGTCCCTGGACAACCTCGGAGACAAAGACAAAGACAAAGACAAAGGTGGCGAAGAAAGATTCGGGGAAACATCTCAAGAAGCAGAGAGATAAAGAAGCGAAAAAGGGAAAGATCGGACGACACTTTATCGTTCTGCCGACGGGGCTGGGACGGATCCTCGGTGGAGGAGAAAAGTGGGAAAAGGTGCTGATCGCCGGTGTCAGGGATGAGGTCGGAGCGCATTGCGGTCTGTTTATTCGTGGGCAGAATATGGATTATGATGGACTTGTGGATAGGGTAAGTAGAAAGATTTTGGGGTGGTGTTATACCCTGTAGTATTAGTAGTTCTGTATCTGTACAACTGGATATATGTCGGGATATCGATAACAGGTCATACTATTTTCTGTGCAAGTTAGGCTGCATCATAGGGATGAATATACTGAATGAAGAGTTGGGTATAAACTTTGAGCAACCAGCCTTTATCTGTAGGTCCACTGATGCTCTGCATCAAACCATGACTGAGGCTCATCGTCGACAGCATACCTTGCCAAGCCAATGGTGACCCAGAGAACACGCTGAAGGAAATGATAGAGGAAATGGTCTGACACAATAAGAATCTGTCCTGCAACGAGTGATAGTGTTTCTCTGGAGACATTCATGTGTCTCCCTTTTCAGTGGGCAAATTTTACTCAGAATTGTTCAATACATAATGTACAGAAAATTATCGCACCAAAACAAACCCCCTTGGGGAGGGGTTAGGTAAAGAACGGTAACAACCTCAGGTCCGGCACAAAAATGGTTGAATGAAATCAAAGACTGGACACTGTGAGAATTGAACCCACGACCTCACACAAGACGACTAATGGTGCGAAGCGTGCGCGCTACCATCTGTGCCAAGAGCCCTGCGCCGTAGGGGCTTAGCTATCATAAAGTAGCCAGGGACCACTAGTAATAACGACTCGTATGAAGGATCGATGATTGCATACACTCTTACAGAAAAATAACAAAATGACAAAAATGGCCCTGCTTATTCAACCTGGATATACTCCCCCATGGAACTCTGATGCGACGACGATGCCCCTTTGGAAGGCTTGATAACTAGGTCCAGCTGTTGCCTGTAAGAATTGTATCAAACTTAGTTGCAAAGAGAACACGAGAGCAGCGAGGAGAGAAGATGGCGAGCCGACAGTACTCACAGCCGCATCCTCAGTAACAGCTTTCTATTCGCCGAATGCATATCATTCCCAGCCCTGATAGCGCGCGCGAACAAATCCGCCCTGTGGTCAACCTTTTTGACTTGTAGTATCTTCTCGGAAGATGAGTAACAAAAGAAAACAGGCCGGCTTCGAGACTTACCTTATTCTGACTATCCACCCTCCCTTGGATATCCCCTGATTGGATAAGGGTAACCACTTGGCCCTCCGTCTCGTCGACACTCCACCCGAAAGCTTGACTCATCCTGTCGAGACGAATAGACGAGAACGGCTGGAAGTATAGCACCACGGCGCGGTTCTTGATCGCGTTCATCAAGGCTTGTACGTGCGTGGTGAGGTGGATGTCGATATAATGGCGAGTCTGAAACCTCGATCAGCAGAAGAAAGCAATTCAAGGGGGAAAAGAACGCACAGAGTACCGCGATAACAGGTCAAGGACAGTCTGGAATTTGCTAGCCATGTATGCCTCGATAAGTTCACGAAGATAGGGCTCCTGCTCGATGTACACGCCGAACGTGGGGTTATCGATCACCTGAGCCTTAAGCGCAGCCCGAGAGAGGCTTGCCATCGCGCATATAGTCCCGTATATTGCGATATCACTCGGGCTGACAAGCGTGCCAATCCATTCACCGAGATCCTTCGTCGACCCCAGCCGCAGGAGGTTGTACGACGCCTTCTTGTAATTGTCCTGTCCCAGATACGACAGGGCAGTGGCCAAGTCGAGTTTAGACCGGACTCCGTCTCGTTCGGGAGAGGACTTCTTTGTGCCGGCTGAAACCATTGGAGCAGAGGCGTCTTTATTGGCAGAAGAAGAGGCGGCGATGGCTGCGTCCAAAGCGGCTTCGGCTTTGAAGACGTAGGTAGGTAGGTGGCCGTAGTTTCGCTGTTCAATGAGAAGCTCGAGAACGGAAAGACACATCTCAAGGACGTGTTGGCTGGTGGTGCAGTATTCTCGGGATTTTGTATAGTGCTTCAGCGAGGTGGCGTACTCTCCGATAGCTCGATAAAAGTCGCCCAGGTCACGATGCGCCATCTGCACTGCCGTTAGGAATGGCCGAGTCGACAGTCAGATACCACGCACCCGGATGCTCTCCTTGATCATGTTATTCGAGTACGTTTTCAGCTCCATCTCGAGCTTCAATCGATCCGACTGGTTCTTAGCAAGGGTTTCATCTATCCACCGCGTGCTGAGCGAGGCAAATTCAGATATCGGCGGCAGGGATCCAGTGGCATTCGCATAAGCCTGCTCGTACGCCGTTACGAGGCCTTGGTACTGCGACGGGTCGCGAGATTGGTGAATATGCTGGATGGCTAGGTGGAAGGCATCAACGGCAATCGATGGGCACAGTAGAATTATGTGGGTCAGGCGGTCCACAACAGTACGCCCGGAGTAGTTGGATATGTAGCTCTCAAGGTCAAAGGGGTGCGCGTCGTCCACCGGAACGGTGAATGAACGTTTGGGCTGTGAGGTGCTGGCTTGGGTATTCTCTTCAGGTGCATCGACATCCATGTCGTGGGCGGGAAGGATGATAGTGGTAATTGGCAAGACTAGTTCAAAACTTATATGGTATAAAGTAGTATTGCCTCTGTCGACATTCCATATATTATATCCTTAATATGGGCACTTGGCACAGTTGGTAGCGCGCACGCTTCGCACCATTAGTCGTCTTGCGTGAGGTCGTGGGTTCAATTCCCACAGTGTCCAATTCAGAAGAAATCATTGCATTCAATTTTCTCCATTTCTGGAACCACAGGGGAATAAGTTTCCGTTTGATACTATGGTTGCATATGGAACCTTAATGGTAAATATCATTTTTTTTTACTGACCCATCTGTTATGCAGAAGCTACTTACCTCCCCCATACAGAATCACTTGGCTGATGCACAGCATTGCAGACTCTTTTTTGTGTTCATATTTTCTTTATCTCAGAAGCTGTAAGTCATCAATAAATGTTGGATACCTATGAGTGTATTTTTTAAATAGAATATATATGCAGCTGTATAAATTATTATAGTTAATTAGCAATCATGATAGATAAGTAACAAAAGTCTAATCTGGCAAGCCACTTTATTAGATGCCTACAGAACTTGTATCTGTATATGAACTTCCTCTGGAAAGGGGAGGTAACTTACTGGTAATTAACCTTGATGTATTGAGACCTAGATTTCACTGTTTTATATGCTATCCTATCTCATATCAAGTTCTGATCTCTCTCTAAGGTGGAATGGAAAACTAGAGACCAAGTCATAGCAATGGTGATATGAAGAAGGAAAGATACAGACTAGCCTCATTCAGGGTTGTTTTGATATGCTAATTTACCATTACTTATCTTATCACATAGGTGGGATATAACAGATACCTTCATATTCTTGTTTTCTTCTATCAGAGAATCTCCACAGCATGAACCTGTGACAGATCCTCATAGTTCTCCTATATCCCTTCAGTGGTGAGAAAGGATAATAACAGTGAAAAGCACACAATTATCTTGTCAATATGCATAAAGAGAGCAGCTACAATGATTTGACTACTAGCAGGTACAACTGTTACATTGAAAGATGAAGCCTTTTTGCATCATATGATATATCAGTATTGTGCAACAACTCACCAACATCAAGATCAGCATTCAAGCTTTGAGCCTCCTTCAACAATAGCAGATTTTACCTTAGTTTGAAGAGTCTGAATATATTCTGAAAATGTGGCTAATGCATACATGGCAGTTTGAAACATCTGAAAGTGTGACATCAATGCTTGTCTTATAATCATTTAATCAGATAATGACTATACCATGGGCTTTGATGAATGGCTCTCAAATTCAACAAAAGAATATGAGCAATCAATTGATCAAGACCTGTACAGTGCATCTGTTTATAGCCATTGGTTGCATCAAGCTGACATATTCTCAGTGATATTTAAGTCTTGTCATCTGTATACATGTATATGAGATATCAAGTTTGAACATAGCTGGTCTTAGATGACAGCAAAGGCTCAGGATAATTGATTGCATCAGATATGAGCATGTGAGAATTGGCAGATTCAAGGAACAAGGTTCAAGACCTACTGTTTCTACACTGTAATAGAGGGAGAGGGCATGCCATTAATGTTTTCAGTGTTCACTATAGCTGCTGTTTTAACATTTCAGTAGCTTAGCCTATATTGACAGTGTAGACACTTTAGATGATCCAATGACAAGTATACAGTGGTCATAGTCTAACTCAGATGAAGGATGAGTTGAGGCTCCCACAAATCATAAGCCAAAACATGCATTCAGAGATAGATGAAATGAGATGAACTTTCTATCACAGAGGAAACAAGTATCTCATCATCTGTGCAGTGGCATTCACTTTTAAAAAAATGGAGCAAGCATTGTTATGATTTTAGCCTCTAATCATGATCTGCCAATGTCTAATAAGCTGATGCTTATAAAATCCCAATAACTTCCAATGACACTATGCTGCATCTGACTCATCATCTTAAAGTGAGATAAACAATGTAGTTAGAGCTAAGTAAACAAGTGAGTAAAGTATGTAGAGTATATAAGTTAAGTAAAGCATACCTCAGTCAGTGTAGTAATAATGAAATGACTGAGAATGTAGATGTAATTACCAGGTATATATACTGTCAGGTTAAAGTATAGAAGTACAGGTAAGCAAAATAGTCCATAAGAAATGATGCACAGTATTGGTAATTGAGTCAGAAATAGTCAGATACACATATCTCATTTAACACCCCTCTGACATGGCAGATTAATTGGTGATATTCAGGCCAGCAAGATAGTGGTAGCAATAGTCACAATAGAGTGGTTTGGTGAACAGATCCACAGCATTAATCTTTCTTCAAATAAATTCCACCTTGATGTCACCTGCTTGTATAAGTTTACAGATATAGTGCTCACAAATGTCAATGTGTTTGACTGTATAATAGTTACAAGTCATGTTGATAAGCAAAACAGCTTTATGATTATTGAACTTGAGTATTCTTAGATTTTCCTGTTCCAGTCTAACTTTCTTCAGCTATAAAAACATCCACTTCAACTGTTGTGCAGCTCTGGTGAGTGCCATGAACTTTGTCTCAATGGTAGACAATGCCATAGTAGCCTGACATTTAGTGCTTCATGAAACAGAATCACTCTCCATCATAAAGACATACTCTAAAATAGATTTCATCATGTCTTTATATCCTCCATAGTTAGCATCAATAAAACCTATCAGCTTGAGTAGTTCTCTCTATCTGTAAATGATTCCATAGTTTATTGTTATTTTAATATAGCTAATAATATGCATTAGTGAGTTTCAATATGCTGAGCTAGAGTTGTTCTAGAATCATGAAAGTAGGCTTATGACATATATAAGATCTGGTCTGGTGGCAAGTTGCCCTCACATTATAGATCTAAGGACTTGATGATAGGGCTTCTTCTTCATCTCATCTCTCTCTTCCTTTGAAGATGGTGCTATTGTGGACTTAAAGATTGTTCCAACTGGCATAGGCATTGAATGGGGTAGGACACTCTATAAGTCAAATAGATCATTGAGAGAGCCAGGCAAAGCCAGCATCCAGTTCTTGGTCCATGTGCATACTCAGAAGATAGCTATTCTCCTCTATATCCTTTATCTCTTATCATTTGGTCAGTTCTTTCTTCCTCTTGTCAATCTCTTCAGCACTTGTTGATGCACTCCAACTATCATCTATATATGTGTTGGTGATGATGAAGAATCCATCTTTCTCTCATTTTGTTCAGACATAGAGATCTATCTAAGATATATGATATTCAAGGTCATTATACATCTTGGCCAGTATCTTAAACCAGTTGTATGTGCCTTGCATCATACCATATATTATGTGGACCAGCTTACAAATCTTGTTTTCTTTTCCAGATATAGTATATCCCTTCAGTTGGCACATGTAGATGTTTTCCTTGGTTTCACTGTTCAAATAGGCTGAGATAAAGTCAATCTTCCACAGATGAAGATCCATACTCACTGCTGATGAGCCTCTAGGCTTTGTACACTCAGAATTCATGGATTTTATGTGATATAGTGATTCCATCCTCTAGACAGGTTTTCAGTAAACTAATGATTGCAAGTATAGCAATGCTAATTTTATATTATGGAAACCACTTTTTAGCACTTTGATAGCTCTCTTATACTATATACACTATATTACCACACTATATTGCCATGAGATGATGAGTCAGATGCAGCATAATGTCATTATGTATACATCATTCACAGTTTTCCATGGCTCTAGCAAGATTTTTTCATGGCTGAAGACTGAATGGGTCAGGATTTTATCAGGCTTTTCTAAGCATTGCAGATTATGATTAGAAGCTAAAATCATGACAAGAAACTGTATAAGTTTCTGAGAATCACTGAAAATCTGTTCATGGTATATCACCCTCAGATCAACAGATAGATAGAGCAGGTTAACCAGAAAATCTAAAAGTACCTTAAAATATTTATAAACCACAGGAAGGATGGCTGGGTAGAGTGGCTTCCTATAGTGGGATTTGCCTATAATAACTATGAAAATTCATCAACAGGCTTCAGCCTATTCTTTATAAACACTGGAACATATCTGAACACTGGAATAAACTGCTCATAAAGAGAGAGCCAAGTATCTCAGATAAAAGATTTCACAGCTGAGATGAAAAAAATCCACAATAAGGCTGAATATATATTAAACAAGGCAGCAAAATTTATGAAAAGGCAGTACAACAAGAGAAAGACACCAGTGAGAGACTATCAGCCAGATGACTTGATCATGCTGGACATGAAGAATATAAAGATGGACAGAAGGATGAAGAAGTTGGATGATAAATTCAGAGGTCTCTTCAAGGTCATAAAGAAAGTAGATGATAAAGCTTATGAATTATCTGTTCTACAAACATGGAAGATCTATTCCATCTTTAATGAGAATCTACTCAGATCATTCTGAGCAGCAGAATTCTCTAATCAAGAGGCACTACCACTGTGAAAGCTAGTGGTCATAAATGATAGAGATGAATATGAAATTGACACAATTCTCAGTCCACTTTTAAGAGATATAGCAATGAGGAGAACTATTGGTATGCTGAGAAGGACCTCTCACATGCAAAAAGACTTATCACAAAGTACTACACAGTATAAAATCTGCTTGCAGTAGTCAACAATATCAGACTGAGACAGCCAATGTTTGACAAGACAGACTATATTAGAACTCAGAAACTCCTCTTCAAATTTAAGACACACCTGTTTGAGGCTAAGAAATTGTACATGTGTCAATGAAATCAAGATGTGGATCTTTGCAGTCCAGAAGCACTCTCTAGACAGATCATGAGATACTTCAGTGGAAATCAATGGGTGGAATGAGGTCAACACCTTGTTTCCAGGACTCTTCTGAGCAATCAAGGACAATTGCCTTGAAGAGGGAATAATATCACAATTTTAGCCTCTAATCATGACCTGCTGATATTTAGTAAGCCAGCACTTATGAAATCCTGATGATCTCTAATGAAGTCAGCCTCAGCCATGGAGA